AGAAATGAGCCCCTATGATTTAGCTACTCTCTCAGTATATAAACAAAATGGGAAATTTTCTTCCTTAAAAAAATAAGATCCCTAAAATATTTCATTGAGAATGGTGAACTAAATGTGAGAATTCAAGTTCAAAAGATAGGAAGTTTCAAGTCAGCAAAGGCTGGTTTGAAAGCACTTTAAAAGCTGTAGAGATTGGAAAAACATGAGTGAGATAGTATGCATGTTTAGTAGGCCTCATCTTTCTGGGAACTATTCAAGATTCTGATTAACCTAGATGAATAAGGGTTAAATCCTGAAAGAAAAAAAATATGTTTTGTTGGCTAGCTTTATTTCTGACAGGGAACAGATGTCATATACTGTTGGTTAATGTTTGCTTTTCATGTATGGAAGTAATCCCAGAGATTCTGCCCACTGGTTTTCCAGAGTATCATTTATCAACCATATTAATCACAATTATTTTTGGTACTTCTGAAAATGATAATTCTGGGGAATCAGTTCTACCTTCAGGATCAGATTCTCTGGGGGTGGCGTCCAAACATGTGAACTTTAAACAGTCTTCATGGGGATTCTTCGAGTTTGAGTAATATTTTCTTAGAATGCTATGGAAATGCCCAATTCCTCTTGCTCAGGTAGCTTCTAAAAGTTTGAACACAGATCTGATGACTCCTGCCTCATTATCCTAACCAGCTGGACCTTCACTCTCCCTGGATAAATATCCACAATCTCCCCACCACCATGAAATGGTTCCAGATGCATTTTCCAGAGAAGTTTATAGATGTTCACGTTATATTAAATAACGTGGGAGTAAATAGTGTTTTAGTCCTTGTCTTTCTCAAACTTCAGTTTCTTTATTACATATGTTATTTTCATTTCTTCTATTATTTTTCTCATTTTTGTGAGTGGTTCATATTTTATTTGAAAACTATAATTGGCCCAAATGGACAGTAAGAATGGTAACATTTTATATTTGCAGAAAAACAATATTACATCCATTTTATTGAATGTGCTCTCATAAAATGTAGTATGAGTAATGTTCTGGATTCAATTTATAGGGGGATTGAGAGAAAATATTACCATAATCTTTCTTATCTCAAAGCTCATTGCATTCTAAGTGTTTACATGCCTTTTGTGAGTTGAGAATTTATAAGTCTGAGTAACTTTAAGAGATTTTTTACTCTTTTTTAAAATCAAAATTTATTTATTTATGCACAAGTTCCAGGAAATAGCTATATATTTTTAAAAATTTATTAGGGTGACACTGGTTAATAAAATTATATAAGTTTCAGCTGTGCAATTCTACAATACATCATCTGTGTATTGTATTGTGTGTTGACCAACCCAAGTTAACTTTCCTTCCATCACCATTTACCCCCTTATACCCTCCTTGACCTCCCACCCTTTCCATCTGGTAATCATCATACTGTTGTCTCATGTCTATGAGTTGCTTGTTGTTTTTTTCTCTTTAATCCCTTCATCATTTTCTCCCAGCCCCCCAAGCCCACCTCTCCTCTGAGAGCTCTGAGTTTGTTCTCTATCAATTAGTCTGTTTTTATTTTGTTAGTTCATTTTGTTCATTAGATTCCACATATAAATGAGGTCATATGGTACTTGTCTGTCTCTGACTCGCATATTTCACTTAGCATAATACTGTCCAGTCCATCTATGTTGTTGCAAAGGGTAAGATTCCTTAATTTTTTATGAGCAAGTAGTATTCCACTGTGTAAATGTGCCACAGCTTTTTTAATCCACTCATCTACTGATAGACACTTGGGTTGCTTTTAAATCTTGGAGGGAGCACAATACTGGATATTAGACTATACCACAAAGCCATTATAGATAAAACAGCCTGGTACTGGCATAGAAACAGACATATAGATCAATGGAACAGAACAGAGAGCCCAAAATAAACCTGAGGCAGAGCTGTTCCTGGTAATAAGGTCTGCAGTGTGGCAGTGACTGCACTGGAGCCTCAGTAAAGGACCCCAAGATGAGATGGTATAGGAAGTGGGAGGCTGCGTTATCGGCCGCTTGTCTACATGGATGTTACAACCCTCCGCTGCCCGCTCACCTCTTCCCGTCCCCTGCCTTGGGCCCCATTCCACCTTTAGTTCCTTTGTGTTCTGCATTTTTTCTCTGATCTCTAGCTTCAGACATTGCATGGCCAATGGCATAACTCTAGACAAGAAGATGCTAGTGTGGTAGTGAAAGGGGGCTCTGTTTGGTTTTTGTTTTGTTTTTTTTTTTTTCTATTTACACTCAGGATTCACAAGGTTTACTGCAAAGCTCCCTGAAGTGCTCATGAGGACGCTCATTCCATTTCTGTGTTTCAGTCTGTACAAGTGGATCTGCCTTCCCTCTAGACCACTGTAGAAAGGGTGTGTGTGTGTGCACATTTGTCAGGGGAAAAACAATACCCCCCAAACACTCCTATTCAGGGTTCACCCACCTGTGGGATCCTCTGATCACTGCCTTCTAAATAATGATTAAGCCACTGTCTCTTCTTCACTAACACTTTCTGCAAAATATACCCGTCCTTGATCTTCTTCAGATGTGGAAGGCCTGTCTTCCCTGCTGCCTTCAAGGTCATACAGCATTCCCTGAAGGGGAAGGTGTGGGCTGCTATCCATGTTCCTTAAGGCTAAGCTATGAGGAAGGAGACAGAGCCCATCTCCTCAAACCTCATCAGGGAGGAAGTGGACTTTCGGGAAGGGCACATGGTATGTATTTCTCAACAAGAGCTCCAGGGAATGGGCACTTTTGGAAGCCCAGGAAGCAATCAGTAGGAGCTGGACTTACTCCTTTCTTTCCTTCAGCACAAGCCCTGAGAAACCCTAAACCCATGCCCCCAACTCAGGACACGGAGAAGACATCACTATTATTACAGAAACATTTATTAGGCAAGTCAGTATTCCCCACAAGGAGGGAATTACTTGGGGGTGGGAAATGTTTCCCCCTGGAAGTTATAGAGAAACATTGTGTGTCTGAATCGTGGAGGCTGCTCTCTGAACGCAGTGCCTCCAGCAGTGGTGAGAACAGCAGGAGGCCCCTTGGCAGCTTGAGGCCTGCAGTTGGGGCTTGGATGGGGCAGAGTCCCCCTGAGGGGCACAGATTGAGGGTGCTTCTGACATATTTGCTGATCCTTTGATGCCACAATGTTTAGATGGGGTCTTTCCTCATTTGTGGTATGTCTCGTATTGGTAGAGCCCTGGCCAGCCAAGATAGCTGTGTGGCGGCTAGACACGGCATTTGTCACGTCATAGGGGGGAGCCCTGCGGTGGAAATGACGCCTCTGCCCTGGCTCTGCCTGGGCCTGCACTGCTCCCTTCTGCACAGGCTTCCCCGACTGCACTGCGGAGGGAAGGGGCTCTTGGGGGCAGGTGGTAACTACTGCAGGCCGGCGCCCCAGTTTCTCTTCTGGGAACTTCCCCATGTCTGACATGACTCTATAAACTTGGGTACTTCCAGTACAGGGAGCTCTGCTTTTAAGTGGGCCTCTACTCTGTGCAGATGATATGTGCCTTCCCATTTCCTGGGTGGTTTTTTGCATTTTACATTTGATTGAAGGACAAAGCCTTTGAAAAAGGCTCTTCATTCTATTTAGCACAAGGCTATCAGGAGGAGCCGTCTGTGTTAGCCTGTGGAAAGACTTGCTCCCAAGCACGTCCTCTAATGCAGTGTCCGGAGACAGAAGTTTCTTCCCTCCAGGTTGGGAAATTCTCAGCTGTGCATCTCCTGCACCAAACTCCTCACATTTGTGGCCTGTAGGCTCTGAGGGAGGACACATGATATCTTTCTTTACAGCTGGTGGGGAATTCTGAACCTGGCAGGACCTTAATGCCTGCTTAGGAAGCCATGGTTCCTGCTGCTTCTCCAGACTGACTCCGCTGTCCTCCGATTGGACATGCAGCACCTGGTGAACCTCCATGTCCACACTGGGCACATACTTATCAGGAGTCAGGGGGGCTTTGTTAGTCAAGCTGTCTGATTCACTGGACATGTCCCGGTGTTGGACTTGGGTCTGGCTATACTTATTTCCCAACATTAGCATTAACCCAACCATAACTTTTGCTTGAATTTCTGATAAGGGACCTTGAACTGATAATTTCGATGGTGGATTTTCAATGGTCACAATAGTTTCTCTGTTGATCCTTTGGGAGACTCTTGGCTTGCTGGTTGTCAGACGTCACTAGTTTTGGGGTGAAGAGCTTTGAGCCTCTCAGCCCTGACTATCTCCCTAGACATGCTAGGCCTGTAAGCAGGTTCTGATTTCTCCCTATTTGTGCCCTGTCGTCTTTCTGCTCTGTCATTCCAATTCACAGTGTTAATTTTTGTCCCTGCTCGCCTTGCAGGCAGCTTCGGGGGCTCAATGTTGGCTATCAGAGAATGTATCTGACTTTTTTTTGCCACTAATAGTGTTTGTAAGAGGCAGTTTGGCTTTCAAAATTTTTTGGATTTCCTCTGCGAGCCTGCCATGGATATCAGCGGGTTTATGTCTTTTCTTGCCCACAAGTCAGGTGTCAAGGAGAGGAAAATTCAGGTCGTCAGCTGCATTTTCTGTTCCCACTTTGTCCCCAAGAAGGGACTCACAGCTTCCTCTCAGGGGCATGAAGGCCCCAGATTTGGTGTTGGTCTCAGAGATCAGTTCGGTTGAGGAGGAAGAGTTGGAATCGCTCAAGAATGAGATGAAGTATCTTTCGATTTGAAGCACTCTTTGGGTTCAAGGACTTTGGTGGCAAGGACAGCCAACAACCCCATCTGAAAGTTGGTAATGTGGGGTTTCTGCATCTGCTGTGCACCACACTCAAGCGAGGGAAGCTCCTGGGATGTGTTCAGGGGATAGTCCCCACCCACTGATGATGGCAAACTTCTTTGCTCTAATTCGGTGTGGAATTTGATAGAAGAGACCAGATTGGTTGAGTGCTGTGAACTATGCACAGTTTCAGGAAGCTGGCTTTCACTGATTTTCTCAACCATTTTGCTCACATGTACTTTCTGGACATTCATTTCACAGATCTTATTCTGGTAATGGGACTGGATGGTAGGATTGGGAATGGGGATTGAAGGTGGGCCTGGGTTTCGATCTGAGTGAGATGTAAGTGCTGGGATTGAGGCAGGGTTTGAGGCAAGGGTTGAGGTTGGACCTCTGCCAAGGATGGAGATTGTACATAAGCAAGTCCTGGGGATTCTTGGTCTGTGAAGGAATTTGAGATGCTATTGAAGAAGATTGAATAGTCACCCGAGGCATGGACAGCAGAGGACAAGGATTCGCTGTGCAGAGTTGGCAGACCCCAGAATAGCTGGGCAAGTGTTTTCTTTAGGTGGTCTTCCCAGGTCTTAGGATATATGTACTCCTGTGCTGAGTCATGCTCATCAGGACCGAGAACTAAGAGATGACCTGGATTTACAAGTTTGGCTTCAGGGTCTGCCCCAAAAGAGGTCTTTGTAGAACGGAGGGCAAGAAACCCGTGATGTAAATCATATTGTGTCAAAGTCTAAGAGCACAAGACTTTGGGTTCAGGTGAGGAATGGTGAACTGGCCCTGGAGGCAGAGTTTGACCCCGTGGTGATGGTGACAGAAAATTACCCAAGGTTGTCATTGAGTTAGAGGGGAGAATGGAGGGAGATGGTTGGGAAGGTTCAGGCAGTGGAGGTGGTATGAGTTCTCCTGGAGGGACTCCTGGGAAAGCAGAGGACTGATTGAATGATGGCTCAGTCACAGAAGCTGTCACAGGAGCTGTGGAAGCCACAGGAGACACAGATGGAGTAGAAGCTTCCAAAGCCTTTAAGAAAAGCCCCTGGATTTCAGTGGCTGCATTGTTACACACCTCACAGGAGGAGTCTGGACATAAAAGTCGACGAAAGCGGGTGATGTCATAATTCTGTCCCAGGGTGCTGCAGGAGACAGGAGGGGGAAAGATGCAGCCAGGACCAGAACAAGGAAAGGAGGTCCTGGTGAGGGTGGGGCCACCTGAAGCCTGCTGCCCCTTCTTACTCCACATCTATGACTTCATATTGCACTCAGTTGCACTCATCCCAAGCATTCACTCACATTCCCCTTCCCATGGCAACCTTTCCCATGACTAGGGAAGGCTCCACTGAATCCCTGGAATTGCACAGAACATACTGTAGAGAGACCAGGAAAAATGGCGAAAGACTAGTCACCTTCTCAAGAAAGAAAACAGCTCCCTGTCATCTTCCTCGCTGTGATAATATCTTGAACCTGGGAACCAGGGGATTGAGTTAAATGTAATGAAGGTAGACACATAGGCATTACACAGGGGTCCCTTTTTGGGAGACCATTGGGATAATAGACTGTGAAACCCTCAAGAATTAGTAAATGAAATCAAATGGTCAATGATAATATTTATAAGGTGCACCCCACCCATATGTGCATTGCTTAATTGATAAAGTACTTTTATATGTATTACTAGAGGCCTGAAGCACAAATATTTGTGCACTGGCGTGGGGGTGAGGGGAGAATCCCTCAGCCCCAATTGTGCCCGCTCACAGTCTGGGACCCCTCGGGAGATAACGACCTAATGGCTTAGGCCCACTCCCGGGTGACAAAGGGCAGGCCCAATCCCTAGGTGCAGCCCCTGGTGGGGCTCAGAGCAGGGCCGATTGGGAGTTGGGGCACCACCCCCTGTCATGCACAGAGCAGGGCGGATCGAGAGGTTGTGATGCAACCCCAAGTGACGCTCAGGGTAGGGTAGATTTGGGGGTTAGTGACGCCGCCTCCTGTCACGCACAGAGAAGGGCCGATCAGTGGGTTGGGGCGCTGCCCCCTGTCACACACAGATCAGGGCCCATTAGGGGGGTTTGGGCTCCTTACGCTGTCACGCACAGAGCTGGGAAGATCAGGGGGTTGGGGACCCTCCCCCTGTCATGCACAGAGTAGGGCCAATAGGGGATTTGGGACACTGCCCCCTGTCACACACAAAGCAGGGTGGGTAGTGAGGTTGTGGCCCCCTACCTTGTCACATACAGAGCCCCAGGGCGATCAGGGGGTTTGGGCACTGCCCCCTACCACGCTGCTCCAGGGACCAGGAGGCCTCGTGCCTCCGGTGATCCTGGGTACGGGAGGCCTCGGGGCTCCGCTGATCCCAGTGTTGTGAGGCATATTACCCTTTTGCTATACAGGATAGAGGCCTGGTGCACAGGTGGGGGCCAGCTGGTTTGCCCTGAAGGGTGTCCTGGATCAGGGTGGGGGGCCACCTTGGGTGCCTCGCCAGCCTGGATTAGGCGATGATGGCTGTTTGCAGCTGGTCACACCCCGTTCAGGGTGGTTGGTCCTCACTGGGGTGCCTGGCCTGTCTGGGTGAGGGGTTGAGGGCCGTTTTCAGGCTGGCGGGCGACTGAAGCTCCCAACCTGTCCTTTTTTTCTTTTTCTTTTTTTTATTCTGGGATTTATTTATGTTCTATGGCTGTCACTGGAGCTGAGAGCCCGCTTTAGCTCTGAGGCTCGGCTCCAGCCCCGAGACCTCGGCTTCTGAAAGCAGGTCTCTGGGTTTGTTTGGGTTCTATGATTGAACACTGTTCAGTTCCAGCTCCAAGGCCTTGCTGGCTGAAAGCAGGTTTCTGGAGTTTGTTTAGCTGCTATACTTGTAACATTGTTTCTTAGAGAGCAGTTCAGAGGCCAGCAGCGGCAGGCGGGGCACCTTGGCTTCCTCCGTCACTGGAGCAAGCAAGCCTCCTGTTCGCTTCAGCTGCCTGGCTGCCGGCATCTCTGTTCCCTCATCTTGGTTGGCAGTTAATTTGCATATCTCCCTGATTAGCCAGTGGGAAGGGTAGCGAAGTTATGGTTAATTACCATGTTTCTCTATTATTAGATAGGATTGCATTTGATGCTCAAAACCACTCTGAAGCAGAGGGGCCAATGGTCACAACAAAGAGGAATCGGATCATCCTGAAGTCAGAGTACTTTCTCAAAGTCAGGAGACAGAACTTCTGACTCTTGACATCTACTGGGCAACACCCATGGCCCAGGTCCCTCACTGCTTCTTCCCCAGGGACAGCAGAGCAGGGAATCTGAGCAGTATCTCAGGTCCAGTCTTTCCATGAGCCTCTCCTCTGAGGGCTCTGTTTCATGAGCGGGGTGTATCTACCAACTGACAGAGACCATGGACCTGGTACCTCATGGGAAGGAGAGAGAAGGGTCACCCTTGGGGAGCTCAGGTGGAATAGGCAGAACCTTACCTCTCCGTGTCCCACCTTTCCTTCTCCTCTTGGCTCTGACCCGATGCTGAGAACCAAAAGGAATGAAGGGGTGATTAGGCCTCATTTCTCTCCTCCTCCCCCTAGGAAACTCAGACATTTACTATCCGAGAATAATGTCTCTCTGAGCCAACCAAATACATTTTAACTAATAGAACTTTGTGTTCCTTTAACCATTTTTAAGCTTTAAAATGTTTTTAATTTTTCCTTTTTTATAAACTCAAAAGAAGGACTTTGTTTCTGGGGTCCACACTTGGTATACTCAGAGGTCCTCTGCTCAAGGTCGGCATATAATCTGAGGCCTACAGTCCATCTCTGTCTCCTCAGATAGGACCCAGTAACCTGATGGTGCTCAGGCTGCAGCCTCTGCTCACTCAGAGGCTCTCAGAGGCTCAGCACTGCTCTGCTTAGCAGCCCAACACAAAGGCTTGGTTAAGTGATGCCTTCCAGGGCAGCATGACTCAGGATGAAGTGCTGATTAACTCTGATTTTCTACGGAGACTGCCACGTCTCTGAATAACTGGATCCAGGACTAGGGAATCCCTGTGTTTGGAGCCAGGAACCTGTCACCACACCCCGATGGTCTGTGAGATTGACATGGAAGCCTGAGTCCTCCCTGAACCCCGAGCCCTGCCTGGTCTCTTCCCCTAGAAAAGCGATGTTCTGTTCTCTCCTCAGATGTCCCATCTTCAGTGTCTCTCTTACTCATCCAAACTAATTTAGAAATTTGGGAATTGAAACGGCAACAGCAATGAAGAACTCTCTGGGGGCTCACTCACTCAGGGTTCCTTACCTTTTGGGTATGTTCATTTCTCCAGAAAGTTGGGATTGATGGAATTCCCACGAAGAAAATGAAGAATAGGAGGAAGAAGGACAACACCAAGATGGAAATTATGTTGAGGTTACCATATAAACATTCTGAGCAGAAGAAGCTCAGATAAAATTCTAGAAGGCTATTCAGAAATAGACTGAGTCCCATTTTCTGAACAACAACGCTGCTTAAAGCAACTGAGCTCTGAGAGCTCCGACTCTTGGCTTTATAGCCAGGCCTGTATCACAGAGCACTGTGGAGAAACAGGGTTTCTGAGAGTGGGGGTGGGTCCACCTTCAAGAGGGTCTATCCACAGTCCCGCACCCCAACCAGCCCAGCAGATTCCCTCCATCTCTTCTGGGCCTCTAGGTCCTTCTGCCCTCCTCTCCTCGCCTGTTTTCCAATTTGCCTTTTAACATATCCTATATTTATTTACCATAATGAATGCTCTGCGTGTTTCATCTGTAACCCAGATATTAGCTGGGTCTCTTTAATGTTGGAGACTTTGACTTTGGTCTCACCAGGTCCACTACCTTACAAGTCGGAAATACTCCCTGGAAATTTTGCTTGTGCCCAGACGTTTACACTGAGGATCATATATGTCCTCAAATCCAACTTACATAAATGTGGTAAAGATCTTGAAGGTCTTTTAGACTTCCATAGTTTTGTGAATGTTAAATAGAAATTTTATTTTCAGTAAGTGATAATTGAATAATAAAGTCTAAAATATCATCCCTCCCACACTTCGCAGGAATACATTTCACATGTTACATATATCCAACCCCTAAGTTCTGTAATAAAGTTCTCTGCAGGACATTTCAAGCAGACATGGAGGTGGCCGAGTTGGTGTGTGTCAGAGTGTGATCCCCATACAACCCCACGACCAGTTCTTGGTTGAGGTACATCCCCACACAGAATTCCGGGTCCTCATGTCAGACTGCACTTGGTTATATTGTCTACAAGGAGGAGTGTTTTCCAGAATCTTGACTAGAATATCGTGCTTCTATTTGCGGAGGATCATTGGCTATAATTCATTCGTTTAGGACTCTCATAAGTTTTCAGTTTTCTAGGGACAATCCTCAGGGCTCTCTCACTCCAGTCCCTATTACTATCCCTGGGCGGAGCCGCATGCATACAGCTGTTTTCAGGGCCCCAAAAGGCAACTGGTTCAAATGAAAAGCATGTAGCCTCTCAGGGCTGTCAGCACCCCCTTTACTTAGTGGAAGACAGAGCAAGCTTACTTGTACTCATGTTGAGTCTCACTGAACTCTCACCATCATGGGTCCATGGAAATTCTGTGCCATGGGGCTTCCCCAATGCTGTTTGTGAAGGGAAGGGCAGGTACTCATATTGTGCACATCCCCTCATGCGCATGCTCCACTGTCTCCCTAAACTTTACTTACAAAGCTGAGTTTTAAGGTAAAATTATTAAGAATCTCAAAATGGTCACAACGGAGCATTAAACCCAGCACTGAGTGCCCCTGAGTGTCCCCTGAGTGACAGCACAGGTTGTAGTCCTTGACCAGCTCTGCAGCTTTCTTTCTCGCCTCAGTTTACATTCTGGTCTTTCCTCCCTCCTTCGCTCCCTCCCATCCGCGCTCTCTAAAAAGCAATAGAAGAGGTATCCTTGGGAGAGGATTAACAACACAACAACAACCAAAAAAGACCTAACCTAGATCTTTATTGCTTGTTATATGAGAATATGGATAAACTATTTGAGGATAAGTTTTTAAATATACTTTATGGAATCTTAAATAATCATTTTGTGGATGATGCAGGAATATTTCCGTAAATGTTGTCTCCAAGTAAACAATTTGATATACTACATTATTTAATTATCCTGATATTCTATGTAGATTTACCTATATGACTTACAATGAGCTGATGTTATTTTAAAATTTTACTTTCTCTTGTATTTCTACTTATTTCCCCTTGCTTAAAGTTTCACTACCACTATACTCTTAATTCTGACTTTATCAATATAAAACAACACTTTTACGCTGGTTTAGACTTTTTTGCTTTAATTTTACTTTGATGACAATATATCTATGTTTGCTTGCATATGGTTTTTCATCTGTTAATGAAAAACTGTCTTGTTCCTTTGGAATGTCCCTCTGTATGTATCCGATTTTCAAATTTTGTTTTAAAGCCGATTTTACTTAAGCAGACAGTGTCTGTATTTTCTCAACCAAATGATAATTTATTTTATTGCTGTCATTTAAACATTGCTGCCCTAACTGGCTTGGCTCAGTGGATAGAGCGTCGGCCTGTGGATTGAAAGGTTCCAGGTTCGATTCTGGTCAAGGGCATGTAGCTTGGTTGTGGGCACCTCCCCAGTTGGGGGTGTGCAGGAGGCAGCTGGTGGATGTTTCTCTCTTGTCAATGTTTCTACCTCTGTATCCCTCTCCCTTCCTCTCTGTAAAAAATCAATAAAAAGTATATTTAAAAAAACAAATAAAAATTGCATACTACTATTTTGCTAGAAAATGTTTTGTTTCCTTTTATTATAGTTGTTTGGAAGATAAATATTTGGTCTAAATTATCATAAAACTGTAGTAATCTAATAATTAAAACATTAGTTTTTCCTATATAAATATTTGGTCTAATTCAAATGTCTCTTTCAGGAAACATTAGGAATGTGGTACTTTTATTATTTTAATTTCATATTACTTTTTAATCTTGGGTTATACATCACATCAATTTATACAAAATTACATAAATTTTTATGTAATTTATTATAGAAATAATATTTATGAGCTTTAGGTTTCCATGCGTCATTTTAATTTTTGCAATTTTAATACAGTTTGGTTCAGCGTGTCTGGTTCATTTCAGTTCCTTCACTGCCAAACCTGAGGGCAGGGACTGCTTCAGTTTCTCTGCCTGCCCTGTGTCTGTGATGACCAAGGTATAAAGATATCTTACTTTTCTTTATCTTGACACATTTAGTGTCCTGTCTCCTGGCTGTGAACAGGAAGTCATTGATTTCCTCAGTTTTTGGGAGGCAAGGCTACTAGGCATGAAGAGTGTGTGGTGGCCAGCACAGCAACTTAAAAGAGCAAGGAGGATGCGGGCGGGAGGTGCGGGGGGGGGGGGAGGGGGGGTCGGTGGAGGGGAGGGGCTTAATTTTATTTTTTTGTGTGAATTATCCATATTTATATTCAGTTCTTTTTTTTTTATTAGATAGGTTTTATTTTTTTTTATTTTTTTTTATATATTTTATTGATTTTTTACAGAGAGGAAAGGAGAGAGATAGAGAGTTAGAAACATCGATGAGAGAGAAACATCGATCAGCTGCCTCCTGCACATCTCCTACTGGGGATGTGCCCGCAATCCAGGTACATGCCCTTGACCGGAATCGAACCTGAGACCCTTGGGGGGGAGGGGCTTAATTTTATTTTTTTGGTGTGATTTATCCATATTTATATTCAGTTCTTACCACTTAATTCAGTTATCCTTACTTGGATAAGAATACATATGCCATTTTTTTAAAGAAAATTTACTATTTATTTTTAATTTTATTTTTTAAAATATATTTTTATTGTTTTCAGAGAGGAAGAGAGAGGGAGAGAGAGTTAGAAACATCAATGAATGAGAGAAAATCATTGATCGGCTGCCACCTGCATGCGCCCTGCTGGGGATCAAGCCCACACCCCGGGCATGTGTCCTTGACCAGAATCGAACCTGGGACCCTTCAGTCCTCAGGCCGATGCTTTATCCACTAAGCCAAACTGGCCAGGGCTACATATGCCATTTTAAATAGAATAAATGCTTGGGTAGCATATCTGAAATCATCTTTTTAATCTTAACTGGGTATGTAATAATTGTGGCCTGGTCATTTTATCTTAAGTCCTGGTAGGAGCATTTCTTTTGTATCATTTCATTACTGAAGTGAAACTCTGGTGTCTTTTCTGTTCTGATTGAGTGATTTCAGTATGTATTCTTGACAATTCTCTTTATTCATTTATTTAGAGAGGGAGAAACGTTGGTTTGTTGTTCTATATATTTATGCATTCATTGGTTGATTCTTGTATGTGCCCTGACCAGGGATTGAACCCACAACCTTGGTGTATTGGGACGACGACGCTCTAACATACTAAGCTACTCAGCCAGGGCTGGGTATGTATTCTTAATCTCCAAAATGTAAAATTTCATTACATCCTGTTGGAATGCATCTCTATTCACTTATCTTTCTTAGCTAGTGTGATCCCACTCAGTTTTCAATTTGAAGTGTTTTCCTCGAATTGGGAGTTTTCTTTATTCGATTTTCATTATTGCTCCCTTTCTAAGCAGAATGCCTATTCCTTGTAGATTGTCTCTCCCTTTATCAGTCTGCATTAATATCATCTGCTACTGAATGTGCTCTTTCATTTCATCCCCTTCACGTCTTCATTCATCTCAGGTTATATATGCTTCCATCCCAGAGTCTTTCTGTTACTGTGACTAGTGTTATTACCCTCTTATTACTTTGGGCTCCTCTTATTTGATACAGGAACTATTTATAATCTTGCTTGTGTTGAAATCAGATATTCCCTACCTTTCCTGAAAGTCAGCATATTTGGGGGTGGGAGAATGGGGAAGTGTTTTCTTCTTCGCATGTGGGTCTGTTTCTTTTGCGTGTTGATTTTTGAACACAAAGCCTTCTATTCCAGCGGCTTGAGGAAGACAGTTTTGAGGATTTACATCAATGTCCTCATAATTGGCCTGACTGATGTCTCCAACGCCTGGAGCTGCACTGTTATGGGGCAAGCCTCACAGAGGCCCTGCAAGGCAAGTTTTCAGCACCTTCTGGGGCCTGCTTCCAAATATTAAGTTCTCCAGAGTTACAAAGGACACCCCAAGCCCTCAGTACTCCAAAGACTTATTTCAGTGGTTACTGGACTCTAATGCTCTCAACTGTGAAAAACAAGACTACCTGGGAGAAATTTTTGTTTTTTTTATCTTTAAAATGGTTTTTTGTTACAAATGGGAGGTGAGAGGATTTTTTCCATGAGCCTTGCAGTTTCTGCAGAATGTCCCGGTGTGGGCATGGAGAGAGTATATACTGAGAAGAATATGTGAAAAAAAAATATAGATAGATAGATAGATAGATAGATAGATAGATAGATGTGAAACAGATACATTCATTGGTTACCTCCCGCACACTCCATGACAGGGTCCTGGGGGGGAACCTGCAATCCAGGGACATGCCCTTCAGTGCACTGACGGACGCTCTAACCACTGAGAAACTGTCCCAAACTTCAATATTGGGACTTCTCTTTCTTTTAGAGTGTAAGGATTGGTTTTAATATATTATTTAGAATTCAGTCTAGACTGCTTTTAAAAAATTGGCTTAAACAAGAGAGAGTTTTATTTACTCCATTTTTCTCTCCTTCAGAGCAGCATCTTTGGTGACAATGGAGTTGGTGAGGCACCTCCTTCTCGCTTACAGTGGTGCTCTCCCAAGGTGTTATCTTCAGCCAAAAGTGGAGAATCAGAGGGCTTAATACACATCTTTATTCTGGCCAGTGGAACCCGGAAAAGAGAATGTATACCTATGTCCATTTCTTTTAAGGACCATTATATTAACTTACATCGCTCTCTCATCTTGTTTTCCAGACCTTACACCATGTGTAATATTTAAATGGAAAGGAGGTTGGGAACCTCAGACTGGGGTCTTTAGCTAAGAGATCATGTGTTCAGCTCACGTATCTGCTGGGGAAGAAGAAGGGGAAAAACACATGATATATGCAGAGTGGGAGGTTGTAATACTCTACCAAAATGTGTTTTCTAGAGATCTTTATTTATAGATGGGATAGATTTTAACCATGCAAAGGTCTTTAAAGGTAATATTTTCTCATTTCTTTATGTTCTTACCTATTCTCTTCAACAGTGTACAAAATTAATGGATCTGCAATAATCCATCACCAAACACAGTTGCAGTGATTGTGGTTTTGAGAAGTTTTGGGCCCTCTGTCCTGTTTCATTGATCTATATGTCTGTTTCCAGGCAAGTACCAGGCTGTTTAGACTATAATGGCTTTGTGATATAGTCTGCTATCCAGTATTGTGCTCCCGCCAACTTTTTCTGAGGCTATTTGGGGTCTGTTTTGGTGCCATATAATTTTTGGAATATGTTTTCTAGATTTATGAAATATGCCATTGGTATTTTAAAAGGGATTGTGTTGATTCTATAGACTTCTTTGGGTAGTATAGACATTTTCTTGATGTTGATGTTAATTCTTCCAATTCATAGTCACAGATACTTTTCCTCAG